TGTTAAATGCACCAATGCTATTAATGATGTGTCATTAAGCGGCATACTAAGACCATTCGTTCTTCTCATCTAATCGTGTCAATCTCAATGGTCCAAATGCTTTGATAGGACTTGATGACAAGATGGTCCTCTAATATCAATGGTAATCTCGATATTGCCTTGACAAGAAGTTATGCTGATGCTATACCCTAGGCCTGCAAGCACCTCCGAAGGTATTTGGGTGTTTGGACCCTCCTAGCAGCACCCCAAGCACCTTCGAAGGTACGACTGGAGCCCCCAGAGGTATCATGAGGTATCATGTGGTGTCGTCAGGTGCCTTGAGGCATCTGATGATTCCGTCGTGGCTTTGATGGTCGTGACGCTCATGATGCCCACGACGCTGACATGCGGGCCATGAAGTAAGGGATTGTTGGAAACTGGCAACGTCATCATATCATATCATAACATATCATATCGTATCATTATCGTTCCTCGTCCTCATCCTCATCGTCATCGTCATCGTCATCAAACATAATCATAACCTCATCATCATGATGACCGACATCGTCAGAATCATAGCGTGAATGACAACCTACATTATACGTCGTGTGATGATAAGCAAGACTGACCAACCATGCGACGTAATGCTGAACGCTATCACAAAGCATCATCAAGACAAGCATGCAAGACATGTCAAAGACATGTCATAAGAATCTACATCATGACCTCTGACATCATCATGATCATTCATGATCACATCAATCTATGAGTTATGTTTTAGGCATGATGGCTATTGGCTAGTGTCAGTCGACGCACCTGCAACCTATGAGTTATATGATGTTATATGTTAAATGAATTCAACATTTGACACGTCCCGATCGGTCGTACGGATGCGTTGCATGCGACTCATTCGACCGCGCCAGGAGCGCCCGACAAGGTGGGTCAAGCTGCGGTCGAAGCGGTCGAAGCGGTCGTGATGAGTGGGGTTGTGAACACCTTCCAATGCCATCTTTTTTGATGTTGGGGAGGCTGGGTGAGGGACATTCTTCAGATGGTCTGCAAATATGCATGTGCAAACATCATTCTCCTCGACTTTGGCAAGTGGTTGCTGGATGTGGTCTTTCGGTGTTGGTTTCCGAAACAGACTTGTCCACTTCTTCTAGTATGGGATGCCTCAATCTATTATGCCTTTTTTCCGGGTTTCTTCCTCACAAAATGTCACATGACATGGGCATCCCCACATCTCTGTGGACACGGACAACAGCACCTGGACCACGCTCTTCTTGTGCTTGAATGAATGCAGAATATATGATATGAAGATGCACGAATGGATCAAAAGTCTGCACCTGATTCCATAAACTGAAGTTGTCCATAGACGCTTTGTGGAACTGTTTTGGCTGTTCCCATTCCCCCTAAAGCTTAGGTTCCCAGCTCCTTGCACTGTCGTTTTGCTTTGGTGCTTCCCTTCGCGAGCTTCGCAAGGCGCAGGCGCCCAGTTGGGCTGCGGCCATTTGCAGGCGCCGGTGACGGCGCCAGAGCCAGATGTCTTGGGGAGTTGACGTGCCTTCGGGACACCTGGTGGCCACCACATCCGACATGAGTGGGCACCCCTATTGGGAGAAAGAGAACGGAAGGATCTGGACATCTCATGATGCGGCCATATGCGGCCCTTAAACCACTTCAGAAACCACTCCGGAAACCACTAGAAGCTAGCCTGGTGAGGACATTTCCCTGCAAAGCTTGGTGGGAATGGGGCACAACAGATAGGTGCCTGAGTATATGAAATTGATCGGGGAGCACAAGTTAAAAAAGTTCATATGTGTGTGTGTCCTATTTCCAGGTACCAGGTGCACTAATGGACTAATTCAATCGTTTGACCATGAATCAATTTGTATCTCCAGGTCCAGTGCTTCGCGTCCATTCGGAGAGAAACGAACCAGATCTTCGGATCCACAAGGAACGACGACGAAGGCCTCAATCCGCTGGGCCTCAATCCGTTGACTGCAGGTGATCCCTGGTTGCATCACTGTCAACCGGAACACCTGCAGTCAACGTGAAGGATGAAGTGATAGGATGAAGTGAAGTGGTCGATGATGGTCGAATCGCTCCTGCTGCTCGGAATCATGCGGATGTGTTTGAACCCCCAGACTGATCCAGACTCCTGCTGCTTTTTTGTTTTTGTCCTTTGTGCCAACAGTCAACAGAGTTCGTTCGGCTTAGGTTCATGACTCGGTTTCTTGGCGGCGCATGAGAACTGGTGCGCCCTGCACCAATAGAACTGGTGGCGCAGGGCGGAAACGAACAGAAACGACATGAAGAACCACATGTGAAGAACCACAGGGTGTTCAGCTCCTTCGTGATGTGGAGGTCCGACCTGGGTGGTCCGGTTGGAGACGCCGTGAACGACGCCGTGATTTCTTCAAGTGGACCGTTGGTTGAAGGCGATGTCCAAATGTTTGAAGGACCTGGGCAAGTGCTAGGTGACATGGGCAAGTGGCGTCGTACAGCGACCCTACCTGGTAGGCAATGAGCAACAATGAGGTGACATGGATGTATTCGATATTATATATATCTTATCCTTATCCGTGTGAATGTCTTTGGACATTGAAGACTAGCTTCTAGGATTGGCAGTTCCCCAAAAAGATCATTCTTAAGGCTTCTGCAAAGATAGAGGTGTATCATATACCGATATCCATGGTGTCTACTCTTTCATCAGATATTATATATATCAGACGCTTCCCTTCCACTTCAGCAACTGCGATGGGGTCCGGCGCTGGACATCACGCGCGGTCCGATACAAAGGATAGCCACGGTGTCTTAGATGAATCGGAACGGTGGGATGGGAAGGTCCTTTCTTGGTGGCTCCGGTTTGAGTAGCTGGGTGAGTAAGAAGGAGACCCCGTGGGCCGACTGGTCTGCCTTCGACACCAGGGTGTCGTTGCCTGGGAGGTCTTGGGAAGACCTATTTCACACCGTAGATGGGTGCCATGCGGGGGGCGTGGTGGCATGGTGGCCCATGGCAGGGCATCGTGGGTGATGGACCCTGATAGGATGGAGTGCCAAGCTTGGCGCTCCATCCTAGCTGGACACTGAGGACTTGAGGATTTGAGTGGCTGAACACATCCATTTTGGGGCTTTGGGTCCGATGAAACTGAGTTGATGTCATTAGACTTAGGACCACTCAATGAACATCTGGTGAGCTTTCTTCAGCACTCCGATATCATGATATCCTTGTTTTAGTGTTTCAATCTGTGTCACTGTGACCTGAAATAAAGAGGTATTCCTCTCCCCAGGGCTCCAGTCGTACCTTCTTAGAAGGTGGGAGTGGGGAGGGTGCCAGGAGGGTACAGTCATACCTTCTGAGGAGAAACGACTGGAGCTCTAGGGCCCTAGGGTCTCGTATTGCTTTCCCAAGATTGCAAAAAAAAGTGACTGCAGATACCATTCAATGACGACCTATCCATGGCCATGGTTTTGGCCAATTGGGGTCCTCTCTATATATATATATATTATATATCCATCTCTCCACTCGCGGAGTCACACAGTTCCTCTCTCCCGATTCACAGATGGCGAAGCCAGTGGCATCCCCTCCGTCTTCCGTGGCTTGGCGTCGCAGCACTCCGGGCCTTGCTGGGCCTTGCTGGTACCGCCCAGGGCTGGGTGGTGCTCGGAAGGACTCGGAGAAGTACAGAGGCTGAGGGGTCTACAAATCACCCTTTCACTGAACCGGTGCCTGGTAAGGGCGTTTCTGTTTGGATTCTGTTTGAGGAGTTTTCTTATTCGATCATGGAAGGAAGCCTTCAATGCGGGTTTGTCCTATGCTCTTTGTATATCTACTAGTTGGAAAACGCTGAATTCATCATTATGTAAACTTCTGGTGTTTGTGGTGGTAGGGTCTTCATACAGTGCAGATTCTGTCTTATACTGTATATTTATGCACGATATGGTGTTCAATTGAGGCCTCCTGTGGCCTCCTCCCAGGATCCAAAAGCTTAAGGAACGGAAGGGTCAGTAAAAACATGTCAAAGCCCTCCAGCTGCCGCCCTTTTTTCTCTCAAGGCAACTGGCTGGAATGGGTCCAGAGCAGCAAGAAGATTATGGGCTTCAAGCCACAAGTCGACTTCCTGCAGCTTGGCGAGAGCAACTCACCGAGTCAAATCGACTGGATGAGGGGGAGTCAACTGGAGTCCGATCCAGTTCCTGGGGCAGCAGCAACCGTGTCCTTTCTGAAAACAATTCATAAACAAGGAGGCTAATGAGATCGTTTAATCTAGAGTTAAAGTTTAAAGAGATAGTTAAAACATCTGTATAATATGCAAATTAGATTTGTTGAACTCAAAAAAGAAGAGTTCCTCTAGCTCTGTTCCACCAGCGCCTGGCCTTGTAACTCTCCGAAGCAAGAACTCCTGTTTCCTGGCCTTGCTTCGTGAAGAAGCGCGTAGAGAAAGACTTCATCGTCTGAAGCTTGGTAGAGATCCTGGGAGCATCCAGAAACCACGGAAAGACCCGAGCGAGGTGTCCTGTCCTCTCAATGTGTATCAAGATAGCGAGACCTCCCAGTTCGACCCCATTGGTTCGGGGTCTCCCTGTTAAACCTACACCCACACTCATGTGAAAGACTAGCCGACTAGCCTTGCACATGGTAGGCCCTGTAAGTTTATGACGCTTCATTTATGACAATTTGTTTGAACTTAATCAAGTTAATCTAACATACTCTTCTATGGCTATACAAACATATATATAGCAACCCCCTCTTCGTCCAAACTTGAGAAATGTACAGGAGAGATAGAGAGGTAAAGAGAGAGCAAGAGAGCAAGAGAGAGAGAGAGAGAGAGAGACTATAGTACAGGAAACCCTCTCAGAAGGCCTGATAAAACCTTTCACGAGACAGTTCAAAGCTCTCCTTTTTTCCTTTTGTGTTTTTCCTTGTTGCCAATCCTCTTCTTTGTGTCGTCAGGAATCTTTGTGCTTCACCCAATACAACCTTGTCCGCCTACGTCCGTGCCATCATCGACGAAGTCATGCGCAGCTTGGCGGGTTTTCTTGGTGAATCGGAATCGATCCGGATGTTCATCACACGTACTAACAATAGATATAGACAGTTAGCTATACAATAGCTATACTGGGTTTTGGACAGTGATGCACATTCACCCCAATCTTCTTCCACCGGTCCCACTTCTTCAGCCCTTGATGGCTTTTCTTCCGCCCGGTGTCGCACCCGGACTGGGGACCAGTTCGTCGCACCTGGACGGTGGACCCCAGGGAGCCTGGATGCGGATCGTTGCTCCATCTTCTTCGTGGATGAGATGCGGAAAGAGGTTTGGTGTGTGGGCTCTTTGGACATGGCACCTCGGAAGGAAGTGCAGTGATGCAGCACTGGCTGGGGTGGGGGTGACAGGGGGGGGCATATACCTGATCTGGGGGATCATTATGTGCGTTTGGCGCTGGGTGGTTTTCCGAAGGTATGAGAGATTGTTCCGGTGTTGGGAGAGAGTGGTTTTCGATTTGAAGAGGTGAACCATTGATTAGAGATGATTAGAGTATGTTCCAACAACCTCACGTTGACTGGTGTGTCTCACATTGAAGCTCGTACCGAGCCATGGACATCGGCTTCCAGGAAGCCGGGGCCTGTGGCCTGTGGCCGACCGAATCCGAAGGAGTGTTCCGACATGTCCCATGGTGAACACCATTTCGCAATGACACCCCCCAAAACGCCAAACAAATTGCGGGGTAGAGGATGCTACGAACGGAGCAAAAGGAATCCGTTCATAGCGGAGCAAAGACGCTATGAACGGAGCTTTTTCGACCACTGGGGCCCGGGCAGAACTGCGGCGCCAGCACCTGTTGGGACTGAGCCAGTGGGGCCGCAGGGGCAGGGGCTGGCGGCGTTGGTCTCGGCTCGGTGACGCCGTGGCTCGGTGCCTCCGCAACTGGGGCGCCCCAGCGCTCTCTGAGGAGCCCTTTTGCATGGACTGGGACAAGGGCATTGTGGGGATGGTGGCCAATGAGGGACAAGTCGTGAATCTGCCAGGCCCGGCAAGCCGAGACGAGGGTCTCGGCAGCCTAGCAGAGCTGCGAGGCATGCTACAGAGTGATACAGAGTGCTGCGAATTGGTGCAGCACCGATGAGAACGGACCATTGGTTTGTTGGATTGTGCTGGATGATTCTTCCAGAGAGGTACTGGATGTTTTATGGTGTTTAACTGGTGTTTTGGTGGTTCTGGTCAGAGCTGACTTCAACATGTGAACAGCCTGGACTGCCGGGAGCAAGAGTATCGTTAGATCGTGAATTGTTCGCTGGAACATCCCAGTTGCTCAGTTTATCTCAAAAAAAAGATCCCCACCCGGAAAAGAACGAGTTTTGTTCATTTGTTCCTTTCCAACAATTTCTTTGTTGCACCAGTGTCTAGGGGCTATTTCCACTGCAAGACAGTGTCTATCCTGAGATGAATATCAGCATATGCAGCATATATATCAGGACCCTCCAAGGGGTGTCTATTTATAGCCCCCTTAGCTGTGATTCGGGGTGTCCATTAACCACCCCTTGGTTTGGCCCTGGGATCAGCTATAGTTTCAGCTATTCCTATCTACGAATCCTGCGTTGCCAGATGCCCACAGTCACCCAGCCTTTGATGGTGAGATCGAAAAGAAGACCGGCTACCGAGTGACTGGGCCCGGGGCAAGGCCGCCGCGGTAGCGGAATCGCCGTGTTGGATGTCCCCAAGGAGGTGACCGCTTCAAGATCCGCAGAATTTCGGGGGGAATCTCACTGATCTATCCCAGGAAGAAGTGGATCATCATGAAAAGCCTGCAGGAAGGGGATTGGTTTCCAAACAAGAAGAGGTGGAAAGTTGGGTTAACCTTGGCTTTCCAGAGCAAAGGGATGATGAGTCAGCTTATCATCCCTTTATCCCAGGTAGCCATGTCTATCATCAACGGCAAGCGGACCTGGAACAGACCAAAAAGGATTAAATGCTTTTGGCACCAAATACTCTGGGAGCCTGGTGTGTTTTTTTCGGGGAACCAGAAAAGGAAACCAACCACATGCCATCATGCCCATGTCGCCTCCCGCCCAAGGGGATTGGATGAGTCGAATAGCGTTAAGCACATCTTCTCGTTTTATCTCGTTTCCATTTTTTTTTGATGCGTGGTTTCAACCGGTCGTTCTCCGTCCTACCAAAGTGGATATTGTTTGACTACGAAGAAGACTGGCGAATCCTCCCAGCCTTGTTTCGGGTCCCGAGCCGAGAGTTCTCCCGGCCCGCTCCGTTGGTCCGTTCGCCCCACACCAGGTGAAGGGCCTTTTGTCCTTGCCCGTCAAAAGCCTCTCGGGAGCTGGTTCCAACGGGGGAGCAGCGGGTCAGGTCCTGCCGGTCTTGACTTATCAGTGGAACAGAGTGGTGGAACATGCCCAGAGCTTTGTGTTTTATCGGTGGAACAGACTTGGTGATCGGTGGCACGGACTTTCCAGGATGCTTCAGGTGTTTCCACCCAAACGTGACACGGAGTCTTGTCTCCTGTGATGGCTTGGTATGGCAACATGCCACGAGGTGCCCCAACATTGTTTGATCATCAATGCATGAAGGACCTCCGTAACCGAGTCAGTTTGGTCCTCACAAAAGGTTGCAAGCAAGTGCACTAGCATTTCACAGTGCATTTGACATCTCATAGTGTCATAGTCTTGGCGCTAACGACCCAAATGATGCAAAACAGGCATCATATGCATGGTACCCAACTCACCCATTTCTCCCTCCACAACTTGTACTTTGTCACTATAACTCACTCCTACTTCCAGAAGTCTTGGGCTTCAAACACGAACACAACACTGACGACCTCACCTCAGTCCGACCCCCCCCCCCACACGACGATCATACGCACCGGGCCACCGGGGCGTATCCACGACGTCTCCGTGGGACGTCGGTGGCCACTGGGACGTCGGGCCACTGGGACGTCTCCGTGGGTCTCGAGGTAGCATCAACCTCGAACAGACCATTGGAGTGATCCAGGCCCGCGCCCCTGTGGGACCGGAGGACTGGAAGGGACTGGAGGGCTGGAGGACCGGAGGGCTGACGTGGCAGATTCTTATGCGTGGCAGGGTGTGGTGGGGTCAGGCTGGACCTCTGGCAGTCTGAAGAGTTCAAGCTATCAAGCTACTTTGACAAGCTTTGACCCATGTAGAAGTCCACCTCTTGAGTCAATTGAGTCTTTAGGTCAAACAGGGTCAAACGACATTATCATACATTAATCAAGAAAATGTGGATAACTTGTTGTGGGGATTGGAATAAACAAGTGGAATGTTCCAGCGAAATGGTTCGCGAGTCAGCTCTTATGGTGGATGAGTTCCTAGAACTGGAGGTTTGCTAGGCATTGGTGCCGGACACTTCCCTATAGCATTGGGATCCCAATGTGAACCTCTCACACAGCAAGTGTGAAGTTAGAGTCTTCGAATCCCCGCTCTTTTTGTTGGAGCACACTCTCGCCAGAATCAGCACACTCTCGCTAGTACTCTCGCTAACCCAGAACCGTTGGGCCATATACGCAGCACGCACACACACACACACACATCCAGGGCCCCAGGGCCTCAAAAACTGTCGCCAGCCGAACAAGCGGTGGGCAACGGGAGGTGCTGAACAAGCGCACCACCAGCGGGAGCTTTTCAGAGCAGGATGCCGTGGAGCTGCAGAAGATCGCGTGGCGAGCCAGCAGGGGAGCGACGTTCCAGCGACATGGGACGTTAATTAATGTTATGTCTTTGGTAAAATAAACCAGCATTGGAGGGTTTAAGTTGGAGGGTGTTGGATCAGTCCAGGTTCCCAGATGTTCCCAGTGCTGACCCTGGTCAGCCTTGTTCATGGGTCAGTGGCCTCACATGTTGTTACCATCCTTAGCTGCACCGTCTCGCAGCCTCCCTGTTGACGACCGCTCTCTTTTTTTCGGGTTCATGGGCATCCATTGTCGATTCTTCCAGCGAGGGCGGCATCCGCGGCATCCATCGGTCCATGGCCTTGGGATGCGTTTTGTGTATTTTTTTTTTCGTGAAACACATGGGTGAAACATGGTGAAACACAATGTTGGCTTCCCATGTGGTTTCACCAACAAGAGTTGTAGAGGTCAAAACAAGCGCTTGGGATCGTGAAAACCCTGTTGTACTCCACCCCTTCCCCTGTAAATGCGAAAGTCTTGCACCAGCGGGAATCCCCCAAAACAATATAAGAAAAGAGCGGAGGCCTGGAGAACTTTTCCATTTTAAGACGTCAAATCTTTGCCCTCATCTCCTAAAAGATGCTTGGGATTCTGACTTTCTCGGCACACCACAGTTCTCAGACTTCCCTCACCATCTCCCAGCTCTCTCCCTACAGTAGTATTACAGTATAACGGGAAAAAAGAAAAAAACAATCAAAACCATCACCCCGACCCCTTCGGCCCCTCGGTCGCTCGCGTGGATGTTCATCGCACTCAGGATGGTCATCGGCGACTCCTTCTACCGCCAACGTTGGAAGGCATTGGAGGCGGTCTTCGCACCTCGGCGGACGAACCGCGGACGGACGGACGTATAGGGCGGACGAGTTCGACGCGACTGGGCGGGGTCGTTCAGTTGAACCGAACTGGGGGGTATGGTTCGGTGCGATCTGGACGGGGAGGTATTTGGGTTGTAGAGAAAGAACAGACATAAGTTATGTCGATCAAGACATTGACTCTGATGAACACGTCGCAACATGGAAATCCGACCTGTTTGATCCTGTTTGGAAAAGAATATTGTTCTCCCAGGGTTCAATTTCCACTTCCATTTTGGTGAAGTGGCAATTACTCACCTCTAGAACACCTGTCGAAACAGGTCTTTGTTGAACGGCGTTTCAGCCCTTGATTAGTTGGAGTCCCAAGCTATATATCTTCTCAAAAGGCCGCTGAGTGAGAGCTTCCCGCTACTCTAAGGCAGTGTGAGTGATAGGCTTGGATCAAAGAAGGATGGCCCGTGAAAGCGCTTCTGTGCTTTTCTTTACTAATGTAGACTCTTGATTAATAACATGGGAGGGTTATTAATCAAGAGTCGATCTACATTATACGAACGGTGGTGGCAATTGGGACCAAAAAGCAATCGGTGCGACCCCATTTGCGTGTCTTTTGCCGGGAGAGGTTGCGCCGTTCGGACGTTGATGCACCAGTGGACGGGGAGGGTCCAGCTGCTTTGAAAAGAACACCACAAGTGAAGAAGTAGTATATGTTGCTATAGTGTATGCTAGTGCATATAATATAAGCTATAGTACTAGTATATGCTAGTATTACATAGTAGTATATAGCTAGATTGTATGCTTGTGTAAATGTATATTTATATATATATAGCTAGTGTGTGCTAGTGTTGTATATATCGTATTATATATATAGAGAGAGATGTTGTCCGTTTCCGTTTCTGCACTCCGTCCGTGCGGCCTCAGGAGCCCAAAGACACGGAGGTCTCGGCCGTTTTGAACGAACACCGCGAGAGGCGGGTCTCGTGCGTCCCTCTTGCCATGTCCCTCGTCCGGTTGCACTGGACCGGCGAAAATGTGGAACATTTTGAGACGAGTTCATGTTGAGAATGTTGAGATATCAGATGCGGATATCGTTGCTGTTTAAGGATTTAATAAGTTTGGGCCAGCCTGTTGTTTCCCCAGTACTCGTAGCTGCCGCAACCATCCACAACCAAATCTTGCTTCCCTGCTATTTTGGTTGAAAACCCTCAACAGATTCATTGCATTAACCGTTGCTGGAGGTATTATGACTCTATAATGGACCGTATGGGCCCATGCTTGGGTTCTTGCGCGTCTACGCGCCCGCACGGCGGGGTCGCGCACCGCTTGGACCCGCAGGTCCTCCTATCCGTCCTACAGCAGCAGCGCACCTGGCATGAAGCTTGGCACTGGAGACTTGTGGACTAGTCAACGGGATTGTTCCAGAACTCTTGAGGAAAGGCATTCGTCCAACAATCCCATTGACTATAGTCAAATTGGGAAAAGGAGTTGAGTAAAAAGTGAGTCGTGGCGTTCCAATCTTCAGAAGTCTTCATGATGGGAATCCATCCCCACCATGTTGTGGAAGTTCTCCATGCTTGAAAATACGAATACAAGAGACCGGCGAGTGCCGTGCCGTGC